CCAGGAGTTGGAGGTTGCTGTGAGCTGTGATGCCATGGCACTCTACCCAGGGGGATAGCTTGAGGCTCTGTCTCAAAAAAAAAAAAAAAAGAAAGCTGGCTGGTAAAACTGTATGAAGGACAGATTGAAGAAGTTGAGAGGTGACCAGCCCTGGTAGGATAGCAGCCAGCTGCCAGAACTAGGGAACAGAGAGAGGGGGACAGATACAGGATATTTCAGGGTAGAACCATGGAGCCTGGGGGAACCTGTCTTATGGAACTATTTGAATGTGAGAAATGAGAGAAAGAGAAGAGAGGGGATCAAGACACCCTGCATTCTGATCTGAGCTCCTGGTGGGCAGAGAATACAGAAAGGAAGAGTTGAATTTAGGGAAAAATGGTTGGAAATAACAACTTCAGTTTAGACAGTTGGAAATTACAACTTCTTGTGTAAAACAATACAGATATAATAATAATAGCTTGCATTTATTCAGGGTTTACCATATGCCAAGTACCATTTTAAGTGTCAGTTCATGTTAAACAACAACCCCGTGAGACAGGTATCATTCATTCAAGGGCACAGGTGGTGTTTGGCTGTTCAGGGTCTTGAACCTGTTTAACCACTGTGGTATACTGCCTATGCTGTCACCAGGGCAACAAAGCGAGATGCTGTCTCAAAAAAAACACATTTTTTTTTTTTTTTTGGCTAGGGCTGAGTTTGAACCTGCTACCTCCGGCATATGGGGCTGGCGCCCTGCCCTTTTGAGCCACAGGCGCCTCCCAAAAAAAAAAAAAAAAAAAATTTAAGAAATACGTAACAGTCTCATACTAAATAGGAAAAGGATTTGCCTAAATATTATTGAAAATATGTATTTTTCTTCTTTAGCTCTGTGTTCTTGATTTAGTTTGATTTCACATCATTTTGCATCTTTTTAATTTATTCAGTAACAGGTGCTAGTTTGCCAGATTTGACCATGGCACTTTCTTGAACCTGTTGGCTCTGTGCCACCCCTTAAGGTCTATTCAAAGGTGGAGAGAAAAGAAATGTGTGTGTGCTACTGAGGGGAAGAAGAAGGAATTTCCTCGAAAGATGTAAAATTTGCAATTGCACAATGGCGGCAAATGCCATTTGGCACCTCAGATTACTGGCATGATGGGGATGTTTAGTACTGCACAGGAAGAAGACCTTCTAGCAGCCTCAAGAAGAGGAGAAAATATTTTCCGATTCCCCAGAATAGAATAGGCAAATTAGCCAGAAACATTGATTCCCATAAAAATCGAGGGATGTTTGTGAAAGAAGTGGCATGCACTCTGCCTGGCTTTTTTTTTTTTTTTTTTTTTTTGAGACAGAGCCTCAAGCTGTCCCCTTAGGTAGAGTGCCATGGCATCAGAGCTCACAGCAACCTCCAACTCCTGGGCTTAAGCAAGTCTCCTGCCTCAGCCTCCCAAGCAGCTGGGACCACAGGCGCCTGCCACAACACCCGTCTATTTTCTGGTTGCAGCCATCATTGTTGTTTGGTGGGCCTGGGCTGGATTCAAACCCGCCACCTTAGGTGTATGTGGCTGGCGCCCTAGCCACTTGAGCCACAGGTGCCGAGCCTGCCTGGCTTTTAAGTGTACTACTTACTGGGTTTCTGGGCCTGTCCATCTAGCCAGGTCATGCACAGTCAGCACTACAATATGGGAATGCTTGCACTCCCTGCTGGCCTGGCTGAGCTTGCTTATGGATCCTGAACTTTGGAGTGTAGAGAATTTACAGACAGGAAACTGTGGTATTCCCTGTGACTCAGGAGCCTAAGTTATTACCAGTCATTGTGGTCATTTCCCAGCCTGAGTCTCAGTGAAAAACAGTGCTGCCAACTTTTCTTTCTCTTCTTTCCCAGATAGGAAGGGGGTGGGTGAACCTAAATTTTTTTTTTTTTTTTGAGGCAGTTTTACTTTGCCACCCTCGGTAGAGCACCATGGCGTCATAGCTCACGGCAACCTCAAACTCTCAGGCTCAGTGATTCTCTTGCCTCAGCCTCCCAAGTCGCTGGGACTACAGGCGCCCACCACAACACCTGGCTATTTTTAGAGACAAAGTCTCCTTCTGGCTCAGGCTATCCACCCTCCTTGGCCTCCCATAGGGCTAAGATTACAGGTGTGAGCCACCACACCCAACCCCTAAGAAACTTTTGAGGGCTTATTATGTTCTTTTTATTGTCTTAGAGACAGAATCTCACTGTGTTGCCCAGGCTAGAGTGCAATGACAAGTCACACCCAGGGGTGTCCAGTCTTTTTTTATTCTCTGCTGCATATTGGAGCAGTAAGAGATGTCTTGGGCCACACATTAAATACACAAGCACTAACAAAACCTGATGAGCAAAAAAAAAAACAGGTCCGTGCATATTTCTCAGAATATCCAGCACTACAGATAGGCCAAACAGGCCTAAGATAGTCAGCATGTGGTCCAGGGACCACAGTTTGGACACCTCTGCTTACAGCCTCAAACTCCTAGGCTCAGCAATCCTCCTGAGTAGCTGGGACCATGGATGCATGTCCTCATACTTGTAAATATTTTCTTTTCAGGGAGAAAAACACTACAAATTTTAAAGCCAAATATCAATTATTCTTTATGCTATGTTACATATGATAGTTAATATATAGGCGAGAAGAAAGATGCCTCTAGAAGTTAGAAAAAGGATGATAATAGTAAGAATTAAAGTCCTTTGGCTCGGCGCCCATAGCTCAGTGATTAGGGTGCTGGCCACATACACCAGGGCTGGCGGGTTCGAACCCAGCCCGGGCCTGCTAAACAGCAATAACAACAACAACAGAAAAAATAGCCAGGCATTGTGGCAGGCGCCTATATTCCCAGCTACTTGGGAGGCTGAAGCAAGAGAATCGCTCAAGCCCAAGAGTTTGAGCTTGCTACACTCTACCGAGGGTGACGTACTAAGACTCTTTCTCAAAAAAAAAAAAAAAGAGTCCCTTGTGAAGGTCGCCAGGAACATAGCCTGGATACACCTGCATTTAATGGAGGTGGTGTATGTAATCCTAAGAATTCAAAAGTCATTTTTTTTATTTGTGGTTTTTGGGTCGGGGGGGTTTGGCCGGGGCTGGGTTTGAACCCACCACCTCTGGCATGTGGGGTCAGTGCCCCAATCCTTTTAGCCATAGGTGCCCCCCCCCCAATTCAAAAGTAATTTAAAAGAGATGAAGCCTAATCACTTGTGGAAAAAAAAAAAAGCTGTATCAGTGGCAGCCTACAAAAAAAATGGGGAAAGGAGGCCAGCAGGAGTGAGAGTTTGCCCTTGTTTATCCCACTGTGCACAGGGAAGGGCCACTGAGTCTATCTGAGGGTAAAATCCTGCTCACAAAGAGATATTCTCCGTGTCAGACTTCGCCACAGTCTGGATGTAATAGTACTTAACAGTAGCTGTGACTGATTAGGCATTTACTATATTCCAGGCTGTGGCTTGGAATTTTTTTATAGTGTGTCATTTAATCCTCACAACTCAGCTGCATTTCATGAATAAAAAAACTGCAGCTCAGTGAGGTTAAATGGCTTGCATCAAGTTACACAGCTAATGGGTGGCAGAGCTGAGACTTGAATCTGGATCTGTCCAACTTGAAACATTTTACTTGACTCATT